GTTGCAAAGCTTCTGGTATGAAATAGTAACAGTGAATAAGATATCCCAGAACTAATTAGAGATGACGGTACAGATTGTGGTATACAAGATGAGGTCATGATAGCAATTAACCGGCTGAGCAATAGTTAAGCAGCAGTTACAGATGCTAGTTAGGAGTCGGCACCAGTTGATTAGCAGAATTTGGCTAGGGGAATTCATGTCAAATGATTGTTCCGTGCACAAAAAAAGGAGACAAGACGATATGTGTCAACTATAGTGGAATTATTATCCTTCCTATCGCTGAGAGTTTTTCGTATGACCTTTTTATATTCTGCTGGAAAAGGTCATACGTGATGCAAATGTGAACAGAAGTGGCATATTTTACTCGTCTACGCCAACAACATCGACATAATTAAGCCACCCTTGAACGGATTGAGAAGAAGTCTGCCAAAGTCGGACTGGTAGTAAATGGCGAGAAGACCAAGCTGGTGGTATCAACTCGCAAGACGTCCGTCCATAAAGTTCGGACCAACTGTGGAACTTGAAAACTACAGCTTCGGAAAACCACGAGTTGTACCATATATTCACGGACATCGACATAGTCAGACGTATCGAGCTGCAGCGTTTACGTTGGCTAGCATATACAAGTAAGCCAACTGATGCTTCACGCAGAATATCTTCAATAAAGGTCCATAACTTTCCATTACACAAATCGCTCTTTTTCGTTATGTTCAATACTTATAAATTCCAAAACCAAAGTCCTTATATTTTTTCGTCCGATTATCTTTCGATTTGCTCAAAATTTATATATTAAGTTTCGTGAAAATCAGTTCAGATTTAGATATAGCTCCCATATATTTTTTCGTTCTATTTAAGTTGTGCACCAAATTCCCAAATTCCTTTTGTTTAGAATGATGTAGACGATTTCACCTCTGTCACGAATGCCTGCAAAGACTCCTCGGTTTCCAATATGTTTCAAGACTGTTCAAACATGTTTTGTTTCTTAATATTTAGAGTTTTTATTACTATTTAAGATAATTGACAGTCAATATGATTAAGAACAAATTACGTGGCGATGACAACATTCTGGGTATTTTCCATTAGGATTAACATAGTCACCCAATTTGCAGGGGGGAGTAGCCGATTGAGCACCGCAACTGTAAAATAGTAATACAAAAAATAGTTTTGTATAATATGTATATGAGAACATAATTAACAAAACTAGTTTTTCATTTTCATTTCTCATCTATGCAATCAACTCTATGTTCGAAAATCTTATCAGCCAAATATTCTTAATTTCTGGACATATTAGTATTTTAAAATGAGTTTTTGTGATAAACTTATATTAATTCTTAAACCTAAAGGTCATTTCGTAGAAATGAAGAAAATACGACATGGAATTACCCAATATAAATTTGAAATAAATTTGGTTTTTAAAACATCAACAAGTCTTTACGGATTAAATGGTATACAAATTAATGAGACTGTTTACGCCAAAACGTAAAACCTAACATCCCTATCATATTGCCTTTCAAATATTCCCAATTATTATGGTGTAAAAACGTTACATATTTAGTACTAAAGTACTCAACAGACTTCAATCTTATTTTTTACCTTTTTATTATCGTCTGAGTTTGAGCTATACTGAAAAGTTGATTTCCTTAAAATTCGGTCTTGAAGCATAAACTATAAAACTATACACTACATTATAATATTTTCATTGTAGACGATCGAGTTCAATTTGGTTTTGTATCAAACACGACAAACTGTCACCTTGTCTGAATCCTCATTCAGTATTGAAGGGTTCGTAGAGGTTCTTTCCGACTCTAACTGATGATCTTGTGCCAATTAGAGTTATCCCGCAAAGCCGTATTAAATTTGCAGGAATTCCAAGCACAGACATGGAATTCCTCATATCCTCAGAACGGATATGAGTGTCGAATCCGGCTTCATCGTCGACGAATCAGTGGAATGTGTAGATGTATTTTTCGCAGTAGATGTGCCAGGTTTTGAAGCTGTAGTTGGCACATATCGTCTTGCCTCCTCTTTTATATAGTCAAATTATACTAATCAGTTGGTACATGCTCCTGATGAGCGTCTACACCGAAACCTGGATAGTTTGGCTGGTAATCCATCGCCACCTACCACTTGATTATTCTTCAGAGGATTAATTGCTATTCTGACATCATCTTGGCTGGCTGGTTTTCTTTTTCGTTGTTTTTTCATAGTAGGAGGGGTTACTAACCCGACGACTCAACCCGTTTTTATACCCTTCACCACACTGTGGTACAGGGTATTATGTCTTTGTGCATATGTTTGTAACAGACACAATGAAACGAAGAATCACTTTCTGAGTCGATTTATGCATGTCCGTCCGTCTGTAGATGTTAAATTTTAAACAAAGTACAAGTCGCATTTATGATCCGATTTGGAACTTGGCACAAGTCACTTATTTGGCTCAGGGACGAACCCTATTGAAATTGGAGAAAATCGGTTCATATTTAGATATAGCTCCCATATATAGTTTCGTCCGATTTTTTGTAAATGCTGCACCAAAGTCCCTATATATCTTTCGATTTGCGCGAAATTTTGCTTAATTGAGTCTAGAATGTGTGTACCAAGTTTCGTGAAAATCGGTTCAGATTCATATATAGCTCCCATATATATATATTCGTCCGATTTAATGTAAATTGTGCACAAAATCCCAAAGTATGACCGATTGGCACACAATTTTTTACAATGTACTGAAATTACTATAAACTTACGTGTGTCAAGTCTACTTGAAATCGGTTCAGATTTACATGTAGCTCCTATATATACTTTGATCCGATTTTAGGTAAATGGTGCACTAAAGAACCATAGCTAGGCCGATTGACACAACGTACTGAAATTGTATATAAATTAATCTCTGGCCAATTTCCTTGAAATCGGTTCATATTATGATATAGCATAGCTTCCATAAATAATATCGACCTATTCCTGTTAATTGTACACCAACTAATCAATGGGTGCCTGAGTGAGGTTACATTTTAAACAGTGCAGCATACCGTGTAGCGTGTGTAAAATTTGCTTTAAATCTATTTACAAAATTTAGAATGCGTTGGGATTGATGTTAGTCGGTTTTCTTAAAGATAGTCGGTTTTACTTAAAGATGTATCAGCTTTCAACGGGTGATTAAAGTATCTACCCCAAGTGACACTATGGGGAGGTCAGTGCCCACAATTGACATGAAAGAGGAACCAAAATAAGACTGGGCTTTGCCATATTAAAGCCAATCTAAGCCGTTGCTTGGTATCTATCATCCTCTACGTCACTCCTATATATTATATTTAAGGTCGTTCAATGGCATACCCATAGTGGTGAAGGATATCTTATAATCGGCGGCGTCCGACTTTACTACTTTCCTTACTGATTATACCGGTTTATTGAGTTTATAAAAATTGCAAATATTGACCATTTGTGAGAGAGTTATATAATTTCATCCGATTTGGTGTAGATGATTTCACCACTGACACGAATACCTGTTGTCTGATTGATACTTTGCATAGATTTCGAAATTATGTTAAGAATAAGTTTTTTCTTAATATTTATGGTTTTTATTACTATTTAAAATAATTAACAGTCAATGGATTAAGGACAAATTACGTGGCGACGACAACATTCTGGATATTTTCCATTAGGATTAACATAGTCACCCAATTTGCAGGGAGGAGCAGCCGATTGTGTACCACAACTGTAAAATAGTAATATCAAAAACAAAAATTATTAAAAACAATACTTTGGCATAATATGTACATTAATTACGAAAACTAGTTTTTCATTAATTTCCAACTTACCCTTGGATAGTACCAAAACCATCATTGCCGCACAAAAAACGAATACATTCACTCTTGGGATAACCCTCTTCACCGGCTGACAATATTAAATCATTGTAAACACATTTTCCTGGATGAGCTATATTAATTTTACGTCGAAATATTTTATTATGAATTAACAAAATTATTTTAATTTCTTTCTTACCAGCATCTTTAAAAAATCCTGACATTTCAAACGAAAATGCCACAGAGCACAAGCAAAGAACTAAAGCGATAACGACAAATTTCATTTTGTTGCAGACTATCAATCGATGCGAGAGAAGAACTAAAGACTATGACAACTTCAAAATAATTTCAAGCTATTTATATTGTTTCTCCCCTCGCTGCAATCATCTGTGTCCGAAAATCTTATCAGGCAAATATTCTTAATTTCTGAACATATTAGTATTTTAAAATTCGTTTTTGTGATAAACTTATATTCATTTTTAAAGCTAAAGGTCATTTCGTAGAAGTGAAGAAAATACGACATGAAATTACCCAATATAAATAAAAGTCTGGGGCAATGCAGTTTTTACCAATGAGAGCATTTATTCATTTATAGGTTTTTGTTGTTATTTTTAAAAATTATTAATATTTTTTTAAAACTCTATGGTATGTATGTATGTATTTAAAAAATCACTTCCAAAATGCCAACACTGATCCTAATACCAAATATCACAAATCTTACTGTATACGTACAGCATCTGAATCCAAAATCATCCATACTCCTCAATCCTACAATCCAATATAAATTGTATTTCCCTATGTCAGAATTTCAGTTCAATCAAATCTATCAAAATTAAATATTTTAAAATTTCAGGTTTCATATTTGTACTATTTAGTACACATAAGGACAAATTTCCAAAACTACCCAATTCCAATTGTACACTCCGACATAAATTTTAATACACATTATTTTTTAGACTCAATTTGGTATGCTGTGAAAAATTTCGGTTCATTGGAACAAAGGGTAATTGGCTGCATTGTATCTTACAAAAATATATGTGGACGTATTATCTAAATCGGTTCGGTGTTCAACAAAACCCAACACACGCCTTTCTATACCCATTTCGATTCGATGTGTCAACTTTCATCACAAATGTTGCTACATTTTTATATTGTTTTTATTTGATATTAATTTCATAGTTTATTGTGATACTGTAACCTCTAAGGGCATATAATATGTCGCTCACAGCACTTAGCATATGGGCCATCGGGATCAACGAAATCTCCAAATTTACATGGTGGAGCTACTGCCTCTACACCGCAACTGCAATAATATAATTTATTATATTTTTTAAAATGGAATTATAATTCATATTTACATACCCCTGCAGTGTTGCGAAACCCGACGAGTCATTACACATAAAACGTATACATTCCCCTTTCGGTTTACCCTCTTCACCAGGGGACAATATTAAATCCTTATAAACGCATTTGCCAGGATGAGCTGAAATTTTGAAAATGTGGTTAATTAAATGTAATCGAAAACGATTCGATTATTATTTTTACCTGGATCTACAAATCGTCCTACTGATTCATAACTTAGAACGGCAACAACAAATGTTAAAAGTACAAACACGGCTGTGAAAACGTTCATGTTGTAATCACGTTGAAGTGCAAATAATTACTAAACTAAAATGTTAATGTTATCATCGATTTATGTATAATTTTTAATTTTTGTTGATAGTCAATATTATTTATAGAGATAATAAAAATGGTTACATCTTGACGTACATTAAGGGGACCGCCATTCTCAATTTAAATTGTTAAATTGGAAATTTTATTTTATAAACAAAATCAAATATTCAAGTAAAAACGACGTTAAGTTCGACCAGGCCGAGCGGAAATGTGTTCGCTAGAAGAAACCACGTTATAAACGTACTCTACTGCATATGTCATCCTTCCAGAACCCTTTATACCAAATTATAGCTAGCATAGAACAATATCATAAACTGACATTAATAATTTTTGGTAAGAACATATCCCACACCACGTGTCCAAAGATCCCCAAAATACCGATATTTGGGATGCAGCGGGGATTCTCTAAAAAAATGAATCATTATTGATCATTTTTAGTTAAACACCCTATGGGAATTTGAAAAATGAAATTAGAGCCAATTCAGCAAGAAAAACCCAGTCAGGAAAGTAGTAAAGTCGGACTGTGCCGACTATATGATACCCTTCACCACTTTGAGTATATTGTACATATGTGTCCGACGTCGCCTTTGCGACGGAACATTGACATGAAATTGAACGGACTTATATACGCGATCTTTATCTATAAGTAAACCGACCATTCTGCAACATATTATATATTTTGTAAATAGATTTAAGGGAACCCCCCATTCTCGATTTTAATTTTTTAAGGTTTTCAATGGGCTGGTAAATCAATACCAATGCTTGTTAAGGTTTGTAACTTTACACATATATAATTGAAGATTTAAAATAGAAGAAAAATAATTTACAAATTTTTTTTTTTGTTTTTGTTTTGTTTTTGTTTTTTGTAATTAAAGAAAACTCCTTATTTTTGATGGCGGGCATGATAACTCCTCACTGGAACATCGGAATCCGAAAATTCCAACGGTGTTAGAAAGAGTACATGTCTGGCTCTCGTATGTACTAGGATTATTGACTTCGCTCTAAAATTAACAAAATGGTGGACTTTTGAAAAAATAATTTTGGAAAATCGCCGATTTTTTTTACCAAAACCCAAGTTAAAAAATAAGGAAGACATTCACCGATTGGCTTTATCCTAGTTCATACGATAGCTATACACTCACAGAGAAACGTGTAAAAATTTGAAATCGATTGGGTTATTAGTTTTTGAGTTATCGTGCCCGCCATTCTCAAAAAAATGTTTAGAGAAAAACGCGTTTAAAGTTTGATAAGCCCTTCAGCCGTCACTTGATGCTGACACAATAAATCGGCTATATCTTCAAGAGTTCTTGAGATTTTCATTTGAAAATTTGTAGGGACATTCTTTAATTAGTGTAGATTTGAATTATATCAACAAAATTTTTGACCCCGAGAATGGGGGGTCCCCTTAAACAAACTGTACACACGCTATTTAATAGGCGTCAATCTTTAAAATGTAAAATCAATCAAACATGAATAGGTCGAAATTATATATAGAAGCCATGCTATATCTAAATCTGAACCGATTTCAAGAAAACTTGCCAGAAATTCAGTACGTTGTGTCAATCGACCTAGCTATGGATCTTTAGTGCACCATTTACTTAAAAATATATATGGGAGCTATATGTAAATCTGAACCGATTTCAAGAAAACTTGACACACGGAAGGCTAATGTAAATTCAGTAGATTGCACTGAATTTTCACGAAACTTAGCATAAATCAGTCTCGACCTTATTCAGTGCGCTAAACCAAAAGTCATGCAAATCGAAATATATATGGATTATGTTGCATTAAATCGGACGAAAATATATATTGGAGTTATACCGATTTTCTCGAAACTTCGCACACGTCATTCTATACTCAATTCAGTACGCTATGCAATATTTCGTGCAAATCGAAAAATATATAGGGACTTTGGTGCACCATTTACCTTAAATCGGACGAAAATATATTTTGGAGCTATATCTAAATCTAACCTGATTTTCTCGAAACTTAGCACACACGATTCTGGACTCCATGCCAAATTTCGTGAAAATTGAAATATAAATAGGGACTTTGGTACACCATTTACGTTAAATCAGACGAAAATATATATGGGAGCTATATCTAAATCTGAACCTATTTTTCTCAATTTCAATAGGGTTCGTCCTTGGGCCAAATAAGTGACCTATGCCAAATTTCATCCAAATCGGATCATAAATGCGGCCTGTACTTTGTTCACAAAAATACATGGACGGACAGACGGACATGCGTAAATCGACTCAGAAAGTGATTATATGCATATTCTTAAAAGGAACCATGTGTCTATCTCGTTTCCTTTTGCCTGTTACAAACATATACACAAAGACATAATACCCTGTACCAGTGTGGTGAAGGGTATAAATACAAAATTATGGGGTTACCAGGAAAACTGGTTTAATATTTTTAGTAGGGAAATTTTCTACTTAATAAAAATCCAAAATATTAAATTGCTCTTAAATTGGTAGAAACACATAATCAAGCTTCCCAAAATACCGATTTTTGAGATGTAGCATACTAGATAGATACATGCCCAACAACAACAAAATACAGAATTTTGGAAGGTACCTTTCGGGGGTTACCGCTAAATATAAGCCAACATTAATAACACGGTGCAACACAAAAAAATAATTATCGGGAATTAAAAAATATGTATATAAATATCTATATATATGATAGATGATCCAAAAGGGAGAAGATTCGAGTATCGGCATTTTGAAAGTTTACGTCATGAGGCAACCTTAAAAGGCTTGGCTACATTTCTCATTTCTAAGACATTTGAACATATTCGGATGAGATTTCTCGAAATTAATTAATTAATATGTTAACCCTCAGTCGATACTCTTAATGGGTCTTTTCGGTTCCCTTTTCCAGAAATGATTAAAAACTCATTAAAAAAAGGGTTATTTTACGAAAGTTCTACAAAATTGTTCGCCATAAAGTTGTACTATAATTCTCAGAATAAATCAAATTTCAAAAAGCAGCCTAAACGACAAAAAATTAAGAAGGATGGGTACTGAACAAGAGAAATCGGTATATATAATATGTATAGACGTCTATTTATACAAAAACAAATATTAGCAATTATGATATCTCCCCACACAAAATTTTCAATATTAGGCGAATAGAATGTTCGCTTAGAATCAAATTTTGGTCAACCTATTATATTTACCAAGCCTAGATCAAGTCCGAAGGTATTACCCGTCGGTCATCTTTCACCTTTTGGTACCTTCCCCACAAAGGGTCAATATTTCATAAACTTGTAAATTTAATTTGAAGTGAATTTAATAACCGATTTGATCAACAATAAATCCGAAACCTCTTTTAATAACAACATATATACCTTATATAAAGTTAATAATAAGCATAGGCTGAGGGTATATATCTGTCTGCAACACCGACTGACACTCTTTACTTGTTATACATTTTAATTTAGTGCATTATTCTTATCTGGGCATATAATATGTCTGTCACAGCACTTTGTATATGGACCATCAGGATCAATGAAATCTCCAAATTCGCACGGAGGATCCACAAACTGTACACCGCAACTGCAAAAATAAAAAAAAAATATTTTATTGAATAAAATAAAATTGTCTTTCCACTAAATTACACATATCTATGTACATACGCCTGCAGTGTTGCAAAACCCGTAGAGTTTATACAGCTAAATTTCATACATTCTCCTTTCGGTTTACCCTCTTCACCGGGAGACAATACTAAATCCTTATAAACACATTTTCCAGGATGAGCTAAAAATAAATTTCAATCAGATATCTCTATTGATTTTTTATTTATTATTTTTTTTTTCTAACCTGGATCAACATAATTTCCCCTCGATTCAGAACCTAGGACAGCAATGGAAACTGTTGAAAATATAACGACGGCAGTGAAAATTTGCATGTTCTAATCGTGTTAAAGTGCAACTAATTACTAAACTTAAATATGAAAATAATCAATAATTTATATATTGTTTGTTTATTGTGAATATATGTATATATATATATATATATATGTAGTGATAATAAATTGTTAGCTCTAATAATCTCGACATCTGCATCTAACACTTTGAGATATTTTTGTTATTTATTTTTACAACAACAAACACAGAATAAAATATCACATAAAATTTGTTTGAATATGTGAATTGTTTTAATATTCTACCATTTTCCTACATCAAATAGAAATCGGTTAACTCCATTAGTTTCGTGGATTAGACATGATTGACAAAATAAGTATTTTTCAGATCAAAATTGTAAAGGAAACCCCAGTAAGAAACAATTACAAATGTGTGGAAATCATGTCATGAGGGCTGGTATATTCGCAAATCCGACTGAAGCCGAGGGCCACTGACATAATTGGACCATACCAATGCGGCTTCAGACCTGGCAAATCCACAATTGATCAGATTTTTCTCTCTGCGCCAAATCCTGAAAAAACACATTGTCACTTTCCAACTAATTGTCGACTATCAAGCCGCATTCGAAGTCCCTATCCGTACAGAGTTATTTAAAGTCATGCAAAATTAATAAGGCTATGGAGGATAACTTTAACTGTTACAAGGTCAGCAGTTAATGTTGGACAGGAACTCTCAGATCCCTTCAATACCAAACGATGGATCAGACAATGTGACAGTCCCGCGTATGACCTTTTTATCATCCTGCTGAAAAAGATAATACGAGAGGCAAAGGTGAACAGAAATGAACACTATGTACCACAAACAACACATGATACTCGTCTACGCCGATGACATTAACATAACGGGTCGAACATTGCGAGCGCTAACAGCCACTTTTGAATAAATTGAGAAGAAGCCTGGCAGTAAATGACGAGAAGTCCAAGCTGATGGTATCAACACGCAAGACGTCCAGTAGACTCGTCGTACTCAGATGTAAATTGGTATTTTTGGTTCTCTCTGTGAAGAGATCTTTGTACTAAAAGAATCAATATTGGTCCACTTTGTTGAGTAGCCTCCATATGACAGTACAACTCATATATGGGTATTTTGTGCAGCTTGGATTTATGCATGTCCGTTCGTCCGTCCATCAGTCTGTCCATGTTAAATTGTAAACAAAATACAGGTCGCAGTTATTATCCGAATTGGATGAAATTTGGTACAGCTCATCTATTTGGCCCAAGGACGAACCTGTTGAAATTGAAAAAAATCGGTTCAGATTTAGATATAGCTCCCATATATATTTTCGTCCGATTTAAGATAAATGGTGCACCAAAGTACCTATATATCTTCCGATTTGCACCAAATTTGGCATATCGTACTAAATTAAGTTTAGAGAGATGTGTGTAAAGTTTCGTGAAAATCGGTTCAGATTTAGATATAGCTCCCATATATAGGTTTGTCCGATTTTCAGTAAATGGTGCACCTATGTCCCTAAAAATCATTCGATTTCACGAAATTGGGCACAGCGTACTGAATTAAGTGTAGAACGATGTGTACTAAGTTTCGTGAAAATCGATCCAGATTTAGATATAGCTCCCATATATATTATCGTCCGATTTTATGTAAATGGTGCACCAATGTCCCTATATATCATTCGATTTGCACGAAATTTGACATAGCGTACTGAATTGAGCATAGAATCATGCGTGGAAAGTTTCATGAAAATCGGTTCAGATTTAGATATAGGTCCCATATATATTTTCGTCCGATTTAAGGTAAATGGTGCACCAAAGTACCTATATATCTTTCGATTTGCACCAAATTTGACATATCGTACTAAATTAAGCCTAGAGAGATGTATGTAAAGTTTCGAGAAAATCGGTTCTGATTTAGATATAGCTCCCATATATAGTTTCGTCCGATTTTATGTAAATGGTGCACCAATGTCCCTATATATCATTCGATTTGCAAGAAATTTGGCACAGCGCACTGAATTATGTGTAGAATGATGTGTGATAAGTTTCGAGAAAATCGGTTCAGATTTAGATATAGCTCCCATATATATTTTCATCCGATTTAAGGTAATTGGTGCACCAAAGACCCTACATATATTTCGATTTGCACGAAATTTGGGATAGCGTACTGAATTGCGTCTATTATAATGTGTACAAAGTTTCGTGAAAATCGGTTCAGAATTGGATATAGCTCCCATATATATTTTCATCCGATTTTACGTAATTGGTGCACCAAAATATCTGAAAATCATTCGATTTTCACGAATTGTGTCATAGCGTACTGAATTAAGGCTAGAATGACGTGTGCTAAGTTTCGTGAAAATTGGTTCAGATTTAGATATAGCTCCCATATATATTTTCGTCCGATTTTATGTAATTGGTCCACCAAAGTCCCTATATATCTTTCGATTTGCATGAATTTTGGTATAGGGTACTGAATTAAGTCTAGAATGATGTTGCTAAGCTTCGTGAAAAGATCCATAGCTAGTCCGATTTACACAACGTCCTGATGTAATATAAATTAGTCTCTGACAAGTTTCCCTGAAATCGGTTCAGATATATTCTACATATGTATATATACCCAATAGTAGAATATACCCAAAGTGGTGAAGGGTATCAAATAGTCGGCCCAGTCCGACTTTACTACTTTCCTTACTGGTTTTTTATTAGGTTGGGGAAAATAAATCCATTATTTTTATATGAACTATAGGACTTTAACATGCTTCGGAATGTCCGACTTCTCATATAAGTCCTGCTCACTATTTGCAAAAAACTCTAGTAGTCGATTTTCACAATCCTCCCTAGATACCAATTTTTTATCACTAAATAATTTTTGCAATAAAAAAAGTAGTCCGGACTGTATGGCGGATGCATTAAAACTGCCCAACCATGCTCCCGAAGTTTCTGGCGAGTCACTGTAGATGTGTGTGGCCTAGCGTAGTCCTGGTGGAATACGACAACTCTCCTGTTGGCCAATTCTGGCCGTTTTTGGTCAATTGCTGTCTTCAAACGGTCAAGTTGTTGACAAATTAGAGATCAGAATTTAGCGTTTGGCCATATGGAAGTAACTCATAATAAATAATCCCCTTTCAGTCCCCCCACATGCATAACAGAAACTTCCTGGCCGTCAGTCCAATTTTGGCCACCGTTTGAGGTGCTTCACCGCTCTTTGACCTCTATCGTTTTCGCACAGGGTTATCGTATCTGATCCATTTCTCATCTCCAATTAACATTCGTTTAATAAATGGGTCTATCTCATTCCGTTTGGCCAAGGCTTCGCATATGGAAATTCAGTCCTATCAATCCTATTTTTTGTGTTTATTGGCGTGACACCCAAACATCGAACTTTTTTTTGAATCCAGCTTTGTTTAATGGTTTAAAACAGTTTTATGTTAAACTTTTAGCTCCTGGGCGATTTTACGACTGCTAACATTCGACTACCGGCCTAATGGATTTATTTTTCCCCAACTAATATTTTGGATTCTAATTGAGTAAATAGTCTCCTTTTCAAAAACAATCAGTATTCTTTCGGTAATTTTGGCACGTTTTTCAACGGAATTTGTAGTTTGGATTGCCCTAGAAAAAGTCCGCAAGAGTAATGTATAATAAACTTCACCTAGATTTCTATTACACAAATTCATGGTAGGAGTGTAAATATAATTTTCCTACTCGACCACCACAATAAATATAAAAATTTATAAAAGTGCACAATACAATTTTGTATATATTTCAATCTAGATGCAATTAACTCTTAGGGCATATAATATGTCTCTCGCAGCACTTTGCATATGGACCCTTGGGATCAATGTAATCTCCAAGTTTACATGGGGGTTGAACATCTTCTACACCACAACTAAATTAATAAAAAAATATATATATTATAAAATAAAATATGCAAGCATATTCGTAATTACATACCCCTGTAGTGTAGCAAATCCCGAAGAGTCACCACACAGAAAACGTACACATTCTCCTTTGGGTTGACCCTCTTCACCGGGGGACAATATTAATTCCTTATAAACACATTTACCAGGATGAGCTAAAATTTTGTTATACAAATTTTAATGAATATACTCGATTCAATTTTGTTATTTATTATTTTTTTTCTTCACCTGGATCTTTGTACCATCCGCTAGATTCAAAACCAAAAACAGCAACGACAAGCGTTAAAAATACTGCGACGACTGTAAAAGCGTTCATGTTCAAATCGTGTTAAAATTTAAATAATAACTGAATTAAAATTTGAATACGCCAATTAATTTATACATTATTTCTAGTTAATTGTAACAACAAAAAATAAACTGCTAAATAGGAACACATTTTTGTTGAATGAATGAATTATTGCTTTGTGAAATTAATATTTCTCCATGCAATCTATAAACTGTTTAACTTAATTACATTAGTCATTCAGGCACGTTCGACCAAGTACAGATTTTAACATCAGTATTTGTAATTCCAAAAATAAGAAAGCTCTATTAGTACATCGGATATAACTTATATACGTATTAATATTAGTACCATAAAGTAGGAATTTTTTACACCACACAAATTCTCATTCCAAATTTCAAGATAGCATTTATTGATAATTTCGGAAAACCAACCTCCATACGTGATGTAAAGATTTGATTTCAATATGTTTACTCAATTCGTTCACCCTATGCCAATTGCAATAAAATTAGAACCATTTAACGTTGATCGTACACTCAAATATTTCTAAATCCACATATTTGCCTCTATCTACACAATAATGGCGATTCCCATGATTCTTGCCACATTCGTCTACACAATTCACCAATTGTAGTAAAATTTTTTAACTCTTCCTCCGCAAATGTGTACTACAAAACCAATGTTTTACGTCATCTCTATAAATCAACTCCTACACCAAATTGTTCAATGCTATATATTATTTAGTACCATTTTATTATTTAATTTGCAACACCTCGAAATATTCACCGGATACCCTATAAAGTATATATGCTTTTTGTCAAAATTAAAACAAGTGTAAAAGCGTTAAGTTCGGCCGGGCCGAACTTTGAATACCCTCCACCACAGATATACTGACAGGTACTTGAAATAAAAATATAGGGAACATACCAAAAAGTGTACCTATACCGACATTTGTACAAACCGATTATGGTCCTAATTATTGGTTCTAGACCCCATGTATCTTTGGACCAAATTTGTTTCAAAAAATTTTGATTTCATCTAAACTTTGCCCATCTTATTATTTCATCCAATATTAGTTCAAGTTCGTACATGGGGAATATCGGTCCACTCCTTTTGCTACCTCCCACGCAGGGTCTGGGCCTAAATGCGAGATACAGTTTATATATATGAATATAACTATGGTTAATTATCGAACCTTATGTTCTAGTTTTTTTTTCGTATCTTCCGCAGATGAAATGATTACAACAGTGTTAGAACCAAACCCAAACACGGAACAAATCATATAACTATTTTAATATAAAAATGGGGTTATAGGGGACGACCCCAAGAAGGGGGCGAATATTAAAAATTGTTGGTAGGGAGTTTTGTTACCATATACGACTACAAAATACCAAATTCCAACGCATTCGGTAGAGAAATGCGCACAAGAACCCCAAAATACCGAACATTGGGGGTACCCTTATATGGGGGCTATCCGAAAAAATGGACCTATATTTATAATTTTTTTGGAGAGATTTAGTACCGAATAAGAAATCAAAATACTAAATTACAGTCAATTCGGTGGAAAAATACGATCAAAACCCCCAAAATACTGAAAATTATGAGGTACCGTTATATGGGGGCTACCAGAAAAAGTGGACCTATATTTATAATTTTTTGTGCAAAATTTGAGATCCCTATCTCAATTCCTTCATAAGATTACAACAGACGGACGGACGGACATGACTAGATCTTCTTAGAATTTTACCCTGATCAAGAATATATGTATATGGGAAATTACAAAATTCTTTTAAAATTCCATTAAAAAAAATTTAAAAAAATTTTTTGCGAGCACATTTATGATTTTTGGTACATAGTTTAAGAAAAATATGCTGATTCGAAATCTGTTCGCGTTCACAAATTCGGATGCTGCGCACAAAAGTTATAGCGGTTTTAAATCTTGTATTTCAAATATAAATTAAATGAATTTCTTTTTGTTGTAATTCGCGAATTTTATCACAAATGGTTAAACACCATTGTTTTCTTTGCATACTAGTCAAATCGCACTGAAATACGGTTTAATAGTCGCGAAAAACAAATAGAAACATGAAGATATCGGAAAATATAATAAATTCATTTTTGAATTAAAACAATTTTTTTTTGAATTTTCGATTTTTTTAGTATGATTAAGAGGATACGGTTTTGCCTTAATCTTCTAAAATATACGACGCTTTCTTCTGCAAATTCTTTTAGATGATTGATAAATATCGGCAGATTCATCTGAAAAGAGTTTCGACGTCATTAATGGCTAAATATATTGCACTTACAATACATAAAAATGATCAATATTGAAAAGCTTGCAATTCGCGAATTAGTTGAAATCAGTTGATGCGCATGCGATTTTCGTATAAACCGAATCAATGTCTTTCAATAATTATTAATTTTTCGATGTTTAATTTAGCGGTCAAAGTGTGCCACTCGATGCACTTTACTATGCAAAAACCCTAAGAATGGCTAAAAATCACGCAACGTGCATACGATTTTTATGCGCATCCGATTATAGTAATCTCCTATGAAAATACGCAAAATGACACCTATTTTAAAAGGATCGGTTAAGAACCGCGGATGTGCCTCCACAATCAATTTTGGATAAAATACGCATATTATTCGGGTATCGATGCATTTTTGACCTATTTCCACACAGATTCGCGAATTTGACAATACAAGCATAAATGCACGTAAAATTAATTCGAAGAAAACCGCGATTATTTACGCGAATTTGTCAAAATAAGTTTTTGCAGTTTTTCCCACATTCAAGGTACCTATATCCGCCGTTTTATTGGACGGAATTCAACATGGATGGGCTCATTAGATCCGGCACGTAAAAAAACTAAAATCACGCGGGGTTCCACGGAATTTGAATGGACTTTCTTAATTTTAGACTCAAAAAATATGTTTTTTATAAAAATTTACGCACTAAATTTTCGTCTTTGGAACCCAATTGCAAAGAAGCTACAGTGAGCACATTCATGAGATATCAGAGCTCCGATTTGCTCGATTTTACTCGCGAGTGAAAGATACTCCCGAGTGGGAGTAAATAAAGAGTACGAGTTTTTTAGGGAGTATACTCTCCACTCTTTTATTTTGTTTGGGAGTGCTCGCGAGTACTCCTTATTGAAGAAAAAGAGTGTGAGTCAAAATGTTCGAAATAGAGTAAGAGTTCACTCTAAGAGTGAAATCGAGTGGACAAATAAATTTGGTTGTTTGGTTATTTGTGTGTGTGTGTAGTACCATTTTTTTTTTTTTTTTTTTTTGATGTTGATCTTTTGTGTGCTGTGGGAAGATAGATCATTACAAAAAACATAAAAGGTTTGATTATTTTGTTTATTGAAAATGTTTACACATGTGAGGTACAAATAAAAATCTTATATGAAATGACTTACATAAAGAGAACGCAGAAAACGAGCTTGTTGATGCATGCTTTCCCAGCAGTACTGCAAACCAAACATCACAAAACAAACAAACAATGCACACAAACAACATCAAGTAAAACAACGGTATCACAAAAAAAAAATAAAATAAAAATAAAAGAGTACTCGGCAAGAGTGTAATCTACTCGATTTCGAACGTATTTCACTCCCACTCGAAAACGAGCGAAGCACTTCCGCTCTTATTTGAGTGGCAGAGAAAAATAGAGTATACGCTATTTACTTTTTCTACTCGCAGGAGTACTCCCGCTCGAATTCGAGCGAGTTTTACTCTTTACTCGAATTCGAGCGAGCATTTCGGAGCTCTGTGAGATATACACTAAACGAAGCAGAATCACGAGTTCTACGATCCTATAATTAGTTTTTTCTATTATCTGGATGCGCATCCTAATTATAAGAAAAATTCAAAAAACACCGAAAATCCGGCTTCAAAATGTCAGCATCCTTTTTGGGTGGATGCAGTGATTATATCGAAAAATCATACATTAGAACCATATTGTCCATGGGGTATTCTGCAACTTAGTCAATGATCACATGTGCGTGCGTTGTGTAGTTTAGCCACAAATCGGGAACGAATACAAAAAAACTCGTTGGCTTCAACACATTTTCACCCATTTTTTTACATTACCACCATCACAGCTTCAACGCAACTTATTATTTATTACCAATATTTCAAGATTTTGACAAGAACACTTCATTTTATAGAATTGAATTTAAATTATATGCAATATGTTCATATTTCGCGAGTTATAACCTTGCAAACCTCAGCTTCAAGGAATTTAAAAGATTTTTGTAATTTCCCATATACTTTATAGGGTAGGTGAATATTTCAATGAGTTACAAACGGAATGACAAAATTAATATACCCTCCATACTATGGTGGAGGGTATAACAAGTAAAATGTGTCGACGGTGTGCCGTCAGATATATAAGGTATAGAATGAAAAATTTAATTTTTCACTCAAAATTCAGGGTCTATTTGACCCGCTATATATTGACCGATATTTATCAAAACAGGCCCGATGCTTCTTTGGCCCGATGCTTCATGTAAATTTTCGATGTTCGGGCCTTAATTCGGCCACTGGAGCGACCAGAAAACCCGACAAAAATTAAGTATGTGGTCCATTTCATCTCCTATATATTAACCGATTTTTACCAACAACAATAAGGGTCTTCATTGGACAAAACCCATCCTACATGCAAAATTTCGTGAAGATTGGTGGCTTGTATCGTGTTTACAAATTATAATAGGCAGACGGACGAACGGACACACATGTATAATTCGACTCAGGTTGTCGAGATAAGGTCGGTATCGGTAAGATCGGTATACTTAAAGGTGGGTCTAGGACCAATATTGGGACTGCGCATAGCTATGGCAACATAGTTGTGTAAGGTATAATGAGGTATATATTTAATTACCAGGTACCAGAAGGGGTGGACCAATGGATCCCATGGTAAAGGTAAATAGGTTATACAATGTGTGCTTCAAATCAGACATTCCATTCGCCTGGTATTAAATTCATAAATATTAAAATATTGACCCATTGTGGGGGAGATCCCAGCCAGTGTGGACCGATGAGTTCCATCTTCAAACTAGATCTAGGCTTGGTAAAGGTAAAAGGTTGTGCAATGTTTGGTTCAAATCGAACTTTCCATTGAATTTATAAATATTGAAAATATTGACGCTCTGTGGGGGAGATATCAGGAGGAGTGGACCAAATTTGGTAGAACTATTAAGATGTGCAAATTTGGATGAAATTGATTATTCCCTTCGAGAGTTATCGTGCCACCAGCCAGATAGGCGGATACAGGACGGACATTTGTAAATCGACTCCCACTTTTATTTAACTATTTACTTCAATAAGAGTTATTTTTAAAAAATGATGCAGGTCGTTTATTCAGTTTGCATTCTCAGTTTTGCCCACCAGTGTATATTCTGGATCAGAAAGAAAATATATGTTGATTTCATCAAGATATAGCTTATCGTATCAGTTACCCGGTTTAACCCAAAGTGTCTAGAAACATTCTGAATTTATTGTTTATAAAGACATATTGCTTATACCGGCCAATTTCGCCGGCCCCTTGACCGTCTATATATTAATCTACCGTTCGACCGAGGTTTTTAAATTGGTTTTGACGAGGTTTTTAAATTGGTTTTGATTTTATTTATTTATTTAAATTATAAGATGTCCATGTCATTCTACGACCATACTATTTTTTCCATGAAGACAACAAGCAAAAGCAAATGTCAATAGGACATTTGTTGATTATTTGGAGCCCAAAAACAAAATCCAAATCTGAACCAAATCTCAACGAAACTTGTCACAGGTTAAGTTATACTAACTTCAATACGTTTTGTGAAATATCGGTCTTTAGTGCATCATTTACATAAACTCAGACGAAACAATATATTGGACCTATATCCAAATCTGATCCGATTTTAATAAAACTTGACACATGTTGGACTACACTAAATTCAGTACATTGGGCAAAATTTTGTGGCAATCGGCATAACATTGGGTATTTTGTGCACCATTTACTTCAAATCGGACCATAATATATTTATCTAAATCTGAATCGATTTCCACAAAACCTTACACGGGTTAGTTTCTAATAACTTCAGTACATTAGGTACAATTTTGCCGCACCGATCGACATCCACATTTCAATCTTCAGTTGTTTTGTTTAAAATTTTTAAATATCGGTCGATGTTTTGCCATACTGACTTACCATATTTTGATGGATCTATAGTTTGTCATATCCTATTCCTGTTAAATTTTCTTTTTTAACTTTTCAACAGTGTTTTCTTGGAACGCATATCTATAATTTAGTATTTTGGTTTAAATGGTTCATAATACTTTAACACTATTTCATAATAACCTTCTAAATTTTCTGATTTTATATCCATTTTGACCTTTCTGAATTGTATAAAATTGATCTTGATTTTTATTAGCACATTTCAATATATTATTTTTAATTTGGTGCAATTTGTTGTTCATTATCCTCCTCCGGGCAAATAACTTTTCGCATACAACATTTGGGGAACGATAAATCCGGATTTTCTATTTCACCCCACCAGCAGGGTGGCTCAAGAATAATAAATCTATAATCGCAACTGAAAATAAAATAACAAATATAAAATTAAACAAATTATAAAAAAAAAATATTTAAAAAAATGTTCACTTACTTTTCAATGTCACCCTTCAGATCGCCTTCACATGTGAAACGTTGACATTCACCCTTTGGCTTACCCTGTTCACCAGGCGAAAGAATCAAATCCTTATATACACATTTGCCGGGATGCTCTTTAGTTAGATAATAATTTCACATTCGAATATTTTAATACATATAGGAATAGAAATAAATTTTTGTTTTTCTTACCTGCATTGCCGTAGAATGATTTCAGTCCCTTGCCAAATGCACCAACAATCAATACACCAACTAATAAGCTAAGCGATAAGAACTTCATCTTGAGTTGTCGACAAGCCGCTTAAAACTAGACAAAAACGAAAATGTGGGCAATTGTTTTTTTATTTTTAAACAGCATTTTGCGAAGTACGCTCAGTGGCAGAACAAAATATTGTTTTTTATGATACTCTTATTGACAATCAGTCATTCGTTGTGTTGTCACGACTTGAAAAAAATTCCCCGTAATAATGTACGGGAATATTGCAAAGTCAAATAATATATTTTTTTTTTTTATTGACCATATACACCCACAAGCTGAGTAATTTAAATATTTGTTTTATTTTTCACATAATCGAAATTGGATAATTGCAAAATATATAAATATATTTGCATTTAATATGGTATACGACGTTGCTTCCCATCTCGTACCAAATACGATACTTCATATTCTCCAAATGTACTCTTAGTATTTGTATGCATTTTTGAACCGTTTTGATAAGGATTGCGGAGTCAGAGTTTATCGGTCGAGGTCTATCAATTTAACTGCCAGTATCCACATATTTACTTTACTTAGCTGGCTTGTGACGGAACATTTGTTCCATAAGCCAAGCTTAACAAATATTTCTAGGCGTGTCGGTCTTGTTTGCAGCTCTTCCAATTTGAAAGTCCGTGTTCCTAAATGTTGTTATTCGCACAATCTTTCCATCGAATTCGTGGCCTTCCCCTTCTACGTGAACCATCAGTTGGCTCGCCTTTATATGCCTTTCGAGCTGGGGCATCCTCATCCATTCTCACAACGTGACCTAGCCAACGCAGTTCGATATGTTTGACTACGTCGATGGCCGAAAATATATGGTACAACTCATGGTTTATTTGTCGGCGATATTCACCGTCGATGCAGATCGACCCATAGATCTTTCGGAGAATTTTTCTCTCAAACACTTCCAGAGCTGCCTCATCTGCCATACTTCTAATCCATACAACAGAACGAGTCTGGCGAGAGGTGGTATTTTTTAAATTGTTTACTTAGACCATAGTAGCACATTTTGGCGAACACTATTCGTCTCTGAATTTCAATAATGTCATTAGTTGTATTTAAGACGATACTAAGGTACATAAAATCGTTGACTACCTCAAAGCTATATTTTTCAAGTTCCACAGTTGGTCCGAGTCTACTGGACGTCTTGCTTGTTGAAACCATCAGTTTGGTCTTCTCGGCATTTACTGCCAGACCCACTTTGGCAGATTCCTTTTCAATTTGTTCAAAGGTGGCTCTTACCGCATGCCATGTTCGACCTATTATATCGATTTCATCGGTCATGTGTTGTTTGATATACAGAGTGTCATTTCTGTTCACCTTCGCCTCTCGTATGACCTTTTCCAGCAGGATGTTAAAAAGATCACACGACAAACTGTCACTTTGTCTGAATCCCCATTCGGTATTAAAGGGTTCCGTGAGGTCCTTTCTGATTTTAACTGCTGGCCTTATGAATGCCTTCCGTATACCACACCTTGATCAATTTGGTTTCTCGTTGTTTGATCGGGAGAAAGCCTCGTGGTCTTATGAATATCGAGATGCTTGAATGTGGTGCTGCTAAGTACCATATTTTTTGCTGCTGCGAAGTCAATCAACCTCATGACTCTGTCTGATGTTTCTTTGTGAAGGGGGGCCAAAAATATTTTCCCTTCAGATTTTTGCATTAAAATTTCCTAGCAGAATTTTAATGTTATGTCCCTACGCTGTTTCTAGGCGCTCGTAAAATATATCTTTAGTCTGCTCATCTTTGTCTTCCATTGGAGCATGGACTTTGCTTTGATGTAGAAGAACTTTGCTTTTATATGGCAGCTATTATACAGTGCTAATCGTCTGATTTACTTACGTGTGTCCCTTTCCATTGCATTTCCGGTAAGGCAATAATATCGGCTTTGTACTTCTTGAGTACATCCGCCAAGGCGAAAACTGGATCTGTTCTGTACAACGTACGAATATTCCAAGTGCAGATTCGCAGATCGTGCTCCTTTATACGTTTGCGGGGTTGTCTACATTAGGAAAGTTTTCTTTTTCGTTGCTATGGTGCTAGGGTGTTTTCCGAGTGTGGGCAACTAACCCGACGTCTCAACCAATTTTTTTATTGTTCTTTGTTCACTATTTCAAAGGGTGATGAAAGTAGCTACCGTGACACCGCGGGGAGGTCAGTGTCAACAATTTAGATGAAAGAAGGACTAAGATAAGCCTGGGCTTTGCACAGAGCCAGAGCCGTTGCTTTGTATCAACCGTCACCAACGTCACCCTAAGCGTTTCTCTGATGGTGACATCACAGAAAAAACCATATTGCGCAAAAAAATAAAATGGATGCAGTATGGATATCCACATCATCATCAATGAAAGGTCTCGAGACGTATTTTCAGAATATATATGCACTTTATGCCGAAAAAGAAACATTCGCTTAACGGATTTTCTCGATGTTCCTTGCACATTTCAGTGACAGTGGGGACCCTTTGTAGAAAATGCCATATTGCGCAAAAACGTCCAACTTTGCATATAGCCCCCATAGATAATTTAGCTTGGTCTCATACAAATGGTACGCGAAACAACCCATGTATGTCCGATTGGCATGCAATATTTTATAGATTTCGGAATGGTATGCTTGTTTTTTTAATTAGCTCAAATATCTATGTAGTTCACATATTAATTTTTGCCCGATTTCATTTCAATGGTCCACCCAAGATGCTAGATCTGTTATATCTACAGAATATGGTACATATAAGCATCGCTTGTGGTGAAGTGAAGTCGGTCCCATCCGGCTTTTAAACGTTTCTTACTGTTTGCTTTTATGCCTGCTAAATACCAAAATATTCCTTTCACAAATTAAAATCCATGCGAATCCATAACAACAATTTTATCACAGCTTTTTATTAACAACAACAATAAAAACTAATTTAATTTGGTCCACCATAATCATTATAATCATCTACTTCGGGGCAAATCACTTTACGCATGCAACATTTGGGATACGACAAATCGGGATTTTCGACATCACCCCACCAACATGGTGGCTCAAGAATAATGCGTCTATAGTCGCAACTGAAAAAAAGAAAACAAAAAATAATATAAAACCAGTGATCGGAGCAGTATAGTCGGACGGGGCCGACCATACGATACCCTACACAACTACCACGGAACTCTAACTCTCTGCGAATGTTTATTCCGAGTCAGGGTAATATTTCGTGATATTTGCCCCCTCTTGCCCAATTAGAGGTCAACATCACCTCTTCCTTACATTTTCGAATACTCAGTACAGCCCTTCTAATTACTTATAGAGATTCCCTTCACGGTGGGTTGTGTTGTAATGTTCGGATTATATTCGACTTGAAAACACACAAAAAATTAAGTCCCAATACTATTATCTGATCATCACCGAAAATTGTAGTCGTTGTCCTTAACCATAACTGGAACTTCATGGAAAATATTAAAGCGATCAGCGCGATATTTCCGCCCTCTAATGTGGTAGTGGGTTAGTAAATAATATCTGAATACGTAAGCACCTGTAAATATTTGAGTGTAACTCCCAGATCTGAGTAGATACATAACTGTATTTGGTATTAATTTAAAGGCCAACCACTCCTCTTGGATAAGCTATCAACTTCTCGGGTCTATATCCTTCAGGAGTAAATATATAAGCCCCAGAATAAAAATGTTGTAATTTTTCACACAAAATCAGGGTTCATTTGACCCGCTAAATATTGACCGATCTTTATCAAAACAGCCATGATTATTGTTTGGCCCGACCCCCTTCTCCATGTAAAATTTCGCGATGTTCGGGCCATAATTACGGCCTCTAGAGCGGTCAGAAAAACGGACAAAAATTAAGTATTTGGTCCATTTCATCCCCTAAATATTAACAATAGGGGTCTTCAATGGGCAGAACCCATCCTACATGCAAAATTTCATGAATATTGGTCCATAACTGTGGCCTGTATCGTGTTTACAAATTATAATGGACAGACGGACAGACGGACGGACGGACGGACACACATGTCTAGATCGACTCAGCTAGTCGAGATACGACGATCGGTATACTTAAAGGTGGGTCCATGACCAATATTTCGCGACGTTACAAACTCTTGGGACTGCACAAAGGTATAATACCCTGACAACATAGTTGTGTAGGGTATAAAAATGTTCGCATTAACATTTATTAATTTTACTTACGTTTCAATATCGCCACTTAGTTTCTCTTCACAGGTGAAACGTTGGCATTCGCCCTTGGGTTGACCCTTTTCACCAGGGGAAAGAATCAAGTCTTTATAGACACACTTGCCGGGATGTTCTAAAATATTGCAAAGTATTTATAATTAATAATTTTAATTTACTTTTAGTTTTATTTATATTACCTTCACTGCGATAATATGTTTTAACCCTTTTGCCAATTGCGCCAACAACTAATAGGCCAAATAACACCGTAAACGTGAAAAACTTCATATTCTACTGTCGACAAACACTTCGAAACTAGTCAAACAAAATGCCTGACAATAGATATTTATAACGCCCCATAATCAACACAAATCAAGTACTCATCATCAAAACTGCAAAACAAAAACCTTGGCGAATGGGGGAGAGGGTTCAATACACCTAAGTGGGATTTCGATTGAAACGTATTCAAATATATTAAATTGTATTCGATATACTCTCAAATATGCAAGCACAGTGAAGCCCCTTAAGTGGTCATTCATTTTATTAGAATAATTTCACACAATTTTTTGTGGGCAAGACAACCTCAGTTCATTGACTTGGTTCATTGAATTTAGATGTCCATAATGCGTCCAAATAAAAACTAGTTCTTTGTTAGATCTACTTCCGATATAAATTATGACACCACATGAATCGACAACAAACACACTTAATGTGAATGAATTAATAAAATAGTAATTAATAACAACATTCAAAAAACTTCACACTTAGAATGAAATATATTTTGCGGCGAATATAGTTTGAAATTTGTTTAGCAAATATTAATTAGATTCAAAACGATATTTAGCATATTAATTTATAGCAACCACGTAAATCATTTATAGAGAATCAGCAAGAAAGAATTCAATGAAGAGAACTACAAAAGCGTATGATGAAATACTATTGCCAACAATGAATCAGCGAATTCGGTTAAAAAATGCGCTCAAGAAATACCGAAAAAAATCGCTCAAAAACTGCAAAATAGAGCATTTTCCTGTAGAGATGAAGATGGAAACTTAGTGACAAATACCGACAACGTGTTGAGGATTTGGAAGGAGCATTTTGCATAGCTTCTGGTATCAAATAGCGACGGTGGAGAAGACACTCAAGAACCAACAAGAGATGACGGTATAGAGTGTATACCATATATTCTGACGTACGCAGGGGGGCGGCCCTGGGGGCCCGGGCCCCCCCCCCCCCCAAAATGATTTTTTTTCACAGTAAATTTATGTTTGCAACAGCGAATTTGTGTTTGCAACAGCGAATTTGGTGGTCACCTGTCGGTAAGGAGCATGCACCAACTGATTAGTACAATTTCTCAGCGTCCTGTATTCCGTGCACAAAAAAGGAGATAAGACGACGTGTACCAACTATAGAGGAATTAGTCTCCTTCCCATCGCATATAAAGTGCTGGTCAATGATGTTATTGGATCATACCATGAGGTATGGCCTCATGGCCCATGAGGCTTCAAACATGGCAAATCCACCATTGATAAGATCTTCACTCTGCGCCAAATGGCAAAAGGTCGGAAGTTAAAGTTGGAAAGGGTCTGTAGTACTTGAAAACTACAGCTTGAAAGTAGTCAACGATTTTGTATACCTTGGTACCACCATCAATAAATCTAAAGGCATCAGTTTTGAAATTCGTAGGAGAATAGTGTTGGTCAACAGATCTATATTCTATGTAAGTAATTTAGAAACAAGGCCACCTCTCGCCAGACCCGTGCTGATATATCGACGAGAAGCATCTTGCACAAGCAGATGAGACAGCTCTTGGAGTGTTTGAGAGAAAAATTCTCCGATTGATCAATGTGCGATGAATATCGCCGTCCAATAAATGAGTTCTAACATATATTCTCGGACTTCCACATAGTCAAACCGATCGAGCTGCAGTGACTACGTTGGTTAGGTCATGTTGTGAAATTGGATGATGATGGCCCAACTCAAAAGGCATATAAAAGCGAGCCAACTGATGTAAGGACAGAGAGGAAAAGGGTCTTTCAAGTTGGAAGAGCTACGCACAAGACCGACGCGGCTGTAAATCTTTTTATACCCTTCACCAAACTGTGGTACAGGGTATTATGTCTTCGTGCATATGTTTGTAACAGGCAAAAATAATCGAGATAGACGCATGGTTCCTTTTGATGCATAGAATTACGTTCTGAGTCGATTTATGCATGTCCGTCTGTCCGTCCATGTATTTTTGTTAACAAAGTACAGGTCGCATTTATGATCCGATTTGAATGAAATTTGGCACAGGTCACTTAATTGGCTCAAGGACGAACCCTATTTAAAAAAATCGGTCCACGTTTAGGCATAGCTCCCATATAAAGGTACCACCAAATTTTCGGCATTTTGAGGTTCTTGAGCGCGTTTTTTAACTGAATTCTCTGAAACTTGATACTTTGAGTTCTTATTTGGTAGCAAATCTCCCTTTCAAAAATTATAAATAAAGGTCCATTTTTTCGGATAGCCCCCATATAAGAGTACCCAACATTTTCGGTATTTTGGGGCTTTTGATCGCATTTTTCGACCAAATTCGCTGAAATTTGGTACTTTGAGTTCTTATTGGGTAGCAAATCTCCCTTCCAAAAATTATAAATAAAGGTAAATTTTTTCGGAGAGACCCCATATAAGGGTACCCCCAATATTCGGTATTTTCGGGTTCTTGGGCTCGTTTTATAACTGAATTCTCTGAAATTTTGTACATTGGGTTCTTATTGGGTACCAAATTACTCCACTAAAAATTATAAATATAGGTCCAGTTTTTTTGGTAGTCCCCATATATCGGTACCCCCAAATTTTTGGTATTTTGGGTGTTTTGATCCTATTTTTCGACCGAATTGACTGTAATTTAGTACGTCGAGTTCTTATTGGGTAGCAAATCTCTCCACTATAAATTATAAATATTGGTCATTTTTTCTGGTAGCCCCCATATAAGGGTACCCCCAATTTTCGGTATTTTGAGGCTCTTGAACCAAATTATTGTTATACCCTTCACCACACTGTGGTACAGGGTATTATGTCTTTGTGCATATGTTTGTAGCAGACAAAAGGAAACGAGATAGTCACATGGTTCCTTTTGAGAATATGCATAGAATAACTTTTTGAGTCGATTTAAGCACGAAATTTGGCACAGCGTAACAAATTAGGTCTAGAATGATGTGTGTTAAGTTTTCTGAAAATCGGTTCAGATTTATATATAGCTCCCATATATATTTTCGTCCGATTTAATGTAAATGGTGCACCAAAGTCCCTTAATATCTTTTGGTTTGCACTAAGTTTGGCACAGCGTAATGAAGTAAGTCTAGATGTGTGTTAAGTTTCCTGAAATCGGTTCAGATATTGATATAGCTTCTATATCTGACCAAATTAACAATTTAGTATCGGTTGCAGAATGACGTGTTTATGGTTCCAATTTCATTTTACTGGTCCTTTAAAAATGCGACGTCTGTTAGGATTCATCTGTTGAATATACTCAAAGTGGTGAAGGGTACCTTATAGTCGGCACCGTCCGACTTTACTACTTTCCTTACTGGTTTAAGCTCGGCGTGTGGAACAAATGTTCCGTCGCAAGCCAGTTAATTAAGTAAGAGTCAATATATTCGTGTATATCAAGGTATTGTAACAAAGCACAGTTCGCATTTATTAATATTTGTTCGATTAAGAAATTTTGCATAGCGTATCGAATTGAGTACGCTAAGTACATTTAAACTGATTTAATGATCCGGGCACACCACTTTACGCATGCAACATTGTGGATATGGCAAACCGTTATTTTCAAAATCACCCGCCCGACATGGTGGCTCAACAATAAATTTTATATCGTCGCAACTAAAAAACAACCAAAATAAAAAATATAAAAAATTACGATTTTTTCATTTTACTTACGTTCTAATTTTGCCAGTTAATTTCTCTTCACATGTGAAACGTTGGCATTCACCCTTTGGTAGACCCACTTCACCAGGCGAAAGTATCAGGTCTTTATAGACACACTTGCCGGGATGTTCTAAAATATTTCAACAAATTTCTAATTAATAATTTTACTTCACCTTCAGTTTCCATTCTATTACCTTCACTACGATAAGAGGTTTCCACACCCTTGCCAATTGCGCCAACAACAAATAGGCCAAATAGCACCGTAAACGTTAGAAACTTCATCTTTAGCTATCGACAAACAATTCGAAACTAGTCAATCAAAAAAACTAGACGATCGATTTATATAAGGGCCATGATCGACAAAATTCCAGTATTCATCATCAAAACTGGAAAAAGCCCCAGCGAAAAGGGAGCGAGTTTTGAATATACCTAAGTAGGGTTTCGATTGCAACATATTCAAATGTAACAAAGTTTGGTCGATATACTCCAACACAGTAGGCATTTATTTTATTTGAATAATTTCACACCTCTTTGTGGGAGCAAGACAACCTCAGGTTATTGATTTTGTTCATTGAATTAAGATGCCACTGTACGTGTAGCACAGAAACTAGTTATTTATTAGATCTACCTCCGATAAATAATAAAAAAATATTAGCATATGCCCGCGACTTCGTTAGCGGAAAGCTGATCTTCAAAACAAAACAAAAACATTAAATTTTATGGTTCAAAAATAAAGAAATATTAATATAGCAATATAACATTAAATAAATTAACATGAATGGATGAAATGGAATTGGTAAATATGTACTATGAAAGACCGATATCACTTACTTACTTAGCTGACCAAACATTTGTTCCATAAGCCGAACTTAAAAAATTTTCAGCTCTTCCAATTTGAAAGACCATGTTCCGAAACGTTTTCTTCCGCTTGATATTTTCATCGAATTCTGCGTGAACCATCAATTGGCTCACTTTTATATGCTATTTGATCTGGGCCATCCTCATCCATTCCCACAACAACGTAGTCGCTGCAACTCGAGACGTCTGACTATGACAATAGACGTACATCTCATGTTTCGTTCGACGGCTTCAGTTCCATACAAACAGCTCGGGTAGTATAAATCTTTGACTATAATATTTGTCTATCTCGAAGCTGTAGTTTTCAAGTTCCACAGTTGGTCCGAGTCTAATGGACGTCTTGCGTGTTGATACCATTAGCTTGGTATTTTGTCTGAATCCCCGTTCGGTATTGGAGGGTTACTAGAGGTTCTTTCCGATTTTAACTTCTGATCTTGTGCCAGCTAAAGTTTTCCTGCATAGCCGTATTAATTTTGCACAAATGCCGAAGGCAGATATCGTTTTAAAAACCTCTGAACGGATAGGGCTGTCGAATACAGCTTTATATCATTAAAGAAATTTTGCAATGCAAGAAAAATTCAATAATCACTTGGTGCCAAGTCCGGACTGTATGACGGATGTATTAAAACTTCCCAAACAATCTCTCGAAGTTTCTGGCGAGGCCACTGCTTGTGGCCTAGTGTTGTTCTGGTGGAACATGACACCTCTCCTGTTGGCCAATTCTGGCTGTCAAGTCGTTGACAAATTAGAGATCAGAATTCAGCGTTTGGCCATATGGAAGTAACTCATAATAAATAATCCTCTTCCAGTCCCACCAAATGCATAGCAGAACCTTCCTCGCCGTTAGTCGTTTTCACACAGGGTTATCGTATGTGATCGATTTCTTATCTCAAGTCACCATCTGTTTATGAAATGGGTCTGTCTCATTCCCTTTGGCCAATCTATACCGTTTTCATTATAATTTAATATTTAGTACCATTTTAATACTAATAATACTATTTTAGTAAGAATTTCCAAAAAACCCATCGATAAAAAGACTACTCCCCAAACCGGACCTACATATCAAATCTCAACTTTCTAACTTTAGCCGTTTCGTCTGGGCGTTGATGATCAGTCAGTCACTTATGAAAAGGGTTTGGGGTCGGGAATTCCCGTCTCGGGTATTCCCGATTTTTTTTTAACATCGATATTCCCGGGATTTCCCGATACTATTTCCCGGGAAAACGGGAAACTGTATTTCTAAATAAATATTAATACGGAATTAAAAATGTCAATGCTAAAGGCATAAACAGAATGGATCCGTTTATCCATCCGTCGTTTTATTTCTTTTCGATAATACAACAACTATAAGAGGAGATTTTAATGTGTGTATAAGTGGAAGATGCTTATTTTAAATCCGATTTATATAATAGACAGGTTCGAAATTCGGAATATGATTGAAGAAAAACTGCTGGAATCATATTTTGAAACCCACGTTGTAGCAACTGTTTCAGATAGGGCTAACGTCATGAGAAAATGTATTCTGAATGTCCTCTTGAAGAATTATTTTGCTGGAATCATGCCATACATTTAAAATATTGTTGATGCTGTCTGGGAAACTTTGTAAGATCAACAAACTTACATCGATCATTCAATTCCACAGATATTACAAAAAGAAATAAGTGAGCGACGTGACTTAAAATTTATATCTAAACAAAAGTTTTTAAGAGACCCTGATAGTTTGGGGAATATTTCATATATTTACTTACAAATGTTGTGAAAAGACCCGGGAATTCACGGGAACCCGGGAATGAAAATTATGAATTCCCGATTTCCCGGGAATGAAAAAAAAATCGGGAATTCCCAAACCCTACTTATGACGCACATCTTCTACATATATACAGATTATGACATCACATGAATCGACCCAATCCCCTAATAATTATGTATGTCGGTAGATCGCCTTAAACACACTTAATAGTAATAAATAATTAATTCGTCAAAAGGACGATCTCTTGTGACGAAAGTAGTTTGAAATTTCTTTGTATAAATATTAATTACTTTCAACCCGATATTTAGCATATTAATTAAGAACCAGAATCATTCAACGATGTGCATTTTAAAGTGGCGCCAGTAATATTTTGTTCTAAATTTTGTATAAATATTAATTAGTTGCAAACCGATATTTAGCATATTACTTTGTATCAACCAAGTAAATTATTCACACAGAACCAGAATCATTTAACGATGAGAATTTCAAAGTGGCGCCAGTAATGTTTTGTTCTTGTTCCAATCCAGTATTGTCCAGTTTTGTGTATTTGTTTTATATTTCAGGTTTATTTTTCTTGACTGCTCACCACAAGAACCAAATATTTATCATTTTTGATCTACCCAATGATGATTTCAAATATCGAAATTTAGGCGGTATCGTTATATGGGCGCTACCCTAAAAAGTTTATATGCCGAAATATCCAATAAGTTGTAGGAATGTATTTCAAATAATAAAGCAGCAGATGCCGATGAATTACCAGCCGAACTATTCAAGGCGGGTGGTCACCTGCTGATCAGGAGGAGGTACCAACTGATTAGTACAATTTAGTAAGATGAATGCATTTCCAATGATACCTTGGTACCGTGTTAAATAAAACTAATGACATCAGTTTTGAAATTCGGAGGAGAATAGTGTTGGCCGAAAGATGATACTATGGTCTAAGTACAAAATTTACTTAGAAATCTTTTTTACGCTCGGCTTATTGAACTAATATTCTGTCGCAAGCCAGGTTATCAAGTAAGAGTCGATATATTGGTGTCTGTCAATTTATTATTCTATTCAAAGTACAGTTCGCATTTATTAATGTTTTTTCGATTGAGAAATTTTGTAAGTACGCTAAATTCATTTGAACTGATTCAATAATCCTAGCACACCGGTTTACGCTCGCAACATCGTGGATATGGTAAATTGTGATCTATAATATCACCCCATTTACATGGTGCTTCAATAAGAGCGTATAGTTCTCTATCCTTGCAACTAAAAACAAAACAAATGGAAAGAACAAAAAAATACTTTTTTTTAATTTTACTTACGTTTCAATTTTGCCAGTTAAATTCTCTTCACATGTGAAACGTTGACATTCACCCTTTGGTAGACCATCTTCACCAGGCGAAAGTATCAGGTCTTTGTAGACACACTTGCCGGGATGTTCTAAAATATTGCAACAAATTTCTAATTAATAATTTTACTTCACTTTTAGTTTCCATTGTATCACCTTCACTACGATAAGATGTTTCCACATCCTCGCCAATTGCGCCAACAACAAATAGGCCAAATAGCACCGTAAATGTTAGAAACTTCATCTCTAGCTGTCGACAAACAATTCGAAACTAGTAAAACAAAAAACTAGACGATCGATTTATATAAGGGTCATGATCGATTCATCATCAAAACTGGAAAAAGCCCTAGCGTATATACCTAAGTAGGGTTTCGATTGCAAGCAACATATTCAAATGTAACTAAGTTTGGTCGATATACTCCAACACACTCCAATACAGTGAAACCCCTTAAATAGGTATTTATTTTATTAGAATAGTTTCACACCTCTTTGTGGGAGCAAGGCAACCTCAGGTTATTGATTTTGTTCATTGAATTAAGATGCCACTGTACGAGAACCACAAAAACTAGTTCTTTTTTATATCTATCTCCGATATAATTTATTAATTAGCACATGTCCACGACTTCGTTAGCGGAAAGCTGATCTTCAAAACAAAAACACATTAAATTTTATGGTTCAAAAAATAAATATTAATATTAATACAGGAATATAACATTAAATAAATTAACATAATTGGATAAAATGGAATTTGTAAATATGTACTATGAAAGATCGTTAGCTAAGAGAACATTTGTTCCATAAGCCGAGCCGAGAAAAAGATTTCCAGGCGCGTTGGTCTTGGGCATAGCTCTTCCAATTTGAAAGACCATGTTCCGAAATGTTGTCTTCCTAATGATTTTCCATCGAATTCGTGGTTTTCCCCTTCTGCGTAAACCATCAATTGGCTCCCTTTCATATGCCATTTGACCTGGGTCATCCCCATCCATAGTCGCTGCAGCTCGATGCGTCTGACTATGTCAATGTCCGAGAATAGATGGTACAACTCATGGTTCATTCGACGGCTTCTGATCCATACAACAGCACGGGTGGTATTAGTAGTGTCCAATAGAGTGTGAGTGTGAGTTTGGTGACAGTTGGCCATGTTTTTGAATTGCTTACTCAGACCATAGTAACATTTGTTGGCCAACACTATTCTTCTCCGAATTTCAAAACTGATTTCATAAGTTTTATTTATGGCGGTACCGAGGCGGTATATAAAATCCTTCATCACCTCGAGGCTGTATTTTTAAAGTTCCACAGTTGGTCCGAGTCTACTGGACGTCTTGCGCGTGGATACAATCAGCTTGGTATTCACGCCATTCACTGCCAGTCCCACTTTGGCAGACTCCTTTTCAATTTGTTCACAGGTGGATGTGACCGCTCACAATGTTCAACCCATTATATCGATGTCATCGGCGTAGGCGAGTAACATGTGTTGTTTGGTGTACAGAGTGTAGTTTCTGTTGCATCTCGTATGACCTTTTCCAGCAAGATGCTAAAAAGGTCTCAAGACAAACTGTCACCTTGTCGGTATTGAGGAGCTTCGAAAGGTGTTTTCCGGCTTTAACATCTTACCTTGTGGTAGTTTAAATTATCCTACATAACCGTAATAAATTTGCAGGAATGCCAAATGCAAATATGGCTTAAATCAACTCTGAGCGGTTTGAGATGTCGAATGCGGTTTTATATGCGACGAATAGGTGGCATGTGTCCATGTGCTTTACGTGGATTTCCAGGATTTAGGGCAGTGTGGAAATTTGGTGGATTTGCCAGGTCTGAAGGTGCATTGGTATGGTCCAATAATATCATTGACTATTGACTTTAGCCGTTCACACAGCACGCTGGGTAGCACATCATATGCGATGGGAAGCAGACAAATTCCTCTATAGTTGTCACATATCGTCCGTTTTTGTGCACGTCAGCATCCTGTGTGCTATGGTTGCAATCATTGGGAATGCATTCCTCTAGACAAGTTGTACTAGCAATTAATCTTCAGACGATTAATTGCTATTATGACCTCATTTTGGTTAGGTCTATACCGTCATATCTTATTGGTTCTGGGGTATCTTGTTTACCGTTACTATTTAATACCAGAAACTTTGCTAAATGCTCCTTCCAGATCCTCAACATGTTGTCTATATCTGTTACCAGGTTTCCTTCTTCATAATTCTTTCTCGCATTGCGTGTTGCTACTGTTCGTACCATGGATTTCTTGATGGTGGTCTTTGGTACCCAAGTGTTGATTTTCCTGCCGTTTGTATGAAGTGCGCTATTGTTTGGCATTGTGCTTCTATATTATTATCGGGATAAGGAGTGCTGTGGTCAAGCAGGTGGGTAAATTGTGTTTGCATATTTTTAACGTCAAGTTTCCGTGTTATGTTAGATCACAACTTTGCTGCTACATTAAAACGAGTGCGAACATTGGCTGCTGCTAGTTAATGATTCGCATCAATATTCGCTCCTCGGATCGATCGAACGTAAAAAAAACTGTATAGGAGGGTTTGGGTTTCTTTTTCGTTATTTTTCATAGTACGAAGGTTTTTCCGAGTGTGAGCAATTAACCCGCCGCCTCAACCCATTTGTTTATAGTTCTTATGGGTGAACTCGCGGCACTCGCTCACTTTTTCAACGGGTGATGAAAGTAGCTAAGCCAGGTGACAATGCGGGATGCTCAGTGTGCACAATTGAGATGAAAAAGGAACCAATATAAGCCTGGGCTTCGCGATGTTAAAGCCAATATGAGCCGTTGCTTGGTATCTATCATCCCCTACGTCACCCATAAAAGAATAAATAAATATTGATTCAGAAAATATGCCAGTGTAAAAATATGAGATGTTGACCTCGAATCTACCAAGAAGTTGAAAATATCGCTAAATATTCTCCAAGCTCGTAGTATAGATCCGCAAATCTACATCATATATATTTTTTTTTCATTTATATTTTTTTATTTAGGGTATATTGCCGCACTATGACAAGTTAAACCAACCTACATATGAATTCTACCAACAAATCTGGCTTCATCTGACTTAATCTACATTTTCGCTGATAAGACAAATTATAGTTTGAAGAAAAAACTAGTAGTTCATCATAAATAGTTTTGCATTGTCTACTTACCCAGCAGCAACATGAAATATTTTATTTTAATTTTTATATTACAACTAACCGCCACAACTTTTGCAGCTGAAATTGCTGGCTATTTTACAGATCCAGGTAATGTCGGCGACAATTTTTCATTAACAACTATAACAAAATTTTGTATTTAGACTTCCCTGGTGCCTGTGTCTATGATGATATGATAATATGGCCAGATGATGTGGGGCATTCAACAAGCGGCAAATGTGAACGACTCTATTGTCTGAATGAGGAGGGTTATGGGAAGCTGTTGAGGTTTGTGATATGATTGAAATTTTATTTGATAAATTGTAAATTTATGTTTGTTCAATTTTTCAGTTGTGGTGTCCAAAAAGCTCCTGCTGGATGTTGGTTGGGTAATGTGATTAAACCAGAATCTAATTATCCGGATTGTTGTAAAAGAGAAATTGTTTGTCCGGAAAAGTGAAAACAGAAACGCTATACTAAACTTTAAAGGGAGAGAGAGAGGGTACTAAGACCCAAACACGTGGACCTAAAGGGGTAGCTGTTAAATATCAAATTATAATATTATTAGAGTATATAGGAGTCATAGTTGAATTCTGAATTGCCGTTTAATTCTGTTTTTTAGAAATTTAAATTTCTCAGCCTATGTTTTTCTATCTGAGTTATGCTTATTATTTGTAATGCAAAACTCAATACCGCCATTATTGTTCATATACAAAATATAATTTATTTTCTACCAAAAAAATACTATGCAAACTCAATTTCGTATTAAAACTATTAAATTTTGTTATATCTGAAAAAAAAAATAATAATCCACCTATATGTGAGTTTGAGTGTGTGTGAATAAAACAAAATATAACACCATGTCATACATTCAATTTAAGCACCAATTCTCTTTATGATACTCCAACAAATAAAAAACCAAATTGAAATTTAAGCCACTTCAATAACTGCTCTGAAAATCGACCAACACTGTGAAATTGAAAAAAAAGAAAAAGCGTAAACCTAAATCTATATCTAAAATTCTAATACAGAATTTAAAATTAAACAAAAATATCAGGTCGAGTGAATGTATGGAGTGGTGATTGCAATAAAGTGATTCATTGTATAACCGTAACTCAAAACTGTTATATACGTTGAAAGTTTGGCATACATATATATTTTTTGTGGAAAATCATTGAATGTTTCTTTTTATATAAAAAGGGGTTATTTGAAAGGAAATATATTTATTTTAAGCATTGATTTCGATAAAAATTATAGTCAACGAAATTTTGACATCCTTATGTTCGGACGGGTCCTACTTGAGGTAAACATTCAAAATAAGTCAAATCAATCGGAATTTTATATGAGCGCTATATTATAGATATTCAGGCTACAGATACTCAGGTTTGGAAACAATGTACTCAGGTTTGGGACAATGTAAAAATATGGACTTATATTGACAATGTTTAGGCTTGGTAGAAATAATATGTTGTACAGAGTTTGGTTAAAATGGGAAGAATTTGAACTAAGTTTGAAAGAAATATTACGATGTGCAAAGTTTGGATGAAATCGGTTACTCCCTTCGAGATTTATCTTGCGCACCAGCTAGACAGTCAGACAGACTTTTGTAAATCGACACGAATTTGGTCCAAAGAATTTATATCCTTTCTTTGGACCAAATCCGGAACTTTAGGATAGGCATTTTAACAAAGCATCGTTAAAGCGGTGCCTCTAAATATATTTACAAGCATATTTTCATTTTCAAGAACCTGGAATTAATTTGGAAAAAGGGAAGGACCTCTTCGGTATTTAAACCTTTAAAATATTAACCAGTAAGGAAAGTAGTAAAGTCGTCCGACTTTATGATACCCTTCACCACTACGGGTGTATTAAACGAATACTTCCTAACAGAAGGGCCATCAGCATGAAATTGGATGAACTAAAATATGTGACCTTTATCTAAATGTGAACCGACTTAGATCAATCCATAAGCATGTCGTTCGTTTGTTACAATGGGACAAAATTATGTAAATCGATTTAAAGCAAGTATCAAAATGCTAATTTTTGTACGTTGTACAAAATTCCATGTCAATATTACAAACATGAGGAGTTTGGTGCACAATTTACTTAAAATCGTATAAAAATAGGTATGGAAGCTATACCCAAATATGAACCGATTTCAACGAAACTTGTCACAGGTTAGGTTATACTAATTTCAGCAGGGTTTATTCCCAATGACCATATTTCGAGTCCTACTTAAAATCGGGCAAACATATGTATGGGAGCTATATCTAAATCTGAACCGATTTTCAATAAATTTTACACACATCATTTTAGACTCAATTCAGTACGCTATGCCAAATTTCGTGCAAATCGGGAGATATATAGGAACTTTGCCATACCATTTACCTAAAATCGGGCGAAACTATATATGGAAGCTATACCTAAATCTGAACCGATTTTCACGAAACTTAGTACACGTCATTCTAGTCAATCAAATGATTTTTAAGGACTTTGGTGCACCATTTACCTAAAATCGGGCGAAACAATATATGGGAGTTATATCTAAATCTGATCCAATTTTCAAGATATTTTACACATCCTTCTAGACTCTACAGTACGCTATGTCGAATTTGTTGGGTTCGTCCTTGGGCAAAATAAGTGAGCTGTGCCAAATTTCATCCAAATCAAATCATAAATGCGACCTGTACCTTGTTCACAAAAATACATGGACGGACGGACGGACAGACGGACATGCGTAAATCGACTCAGAAAGTGATTCTATGCATATTCTCAAAAGGGACCATGGGTCTATCTCGATTTCTTTTGCCTGTTACAAACATATGCACAAAGACATAATACCCTGTACCACAGTGTGATGAATGATATAAAAATTGGGCTGGTCTTTTATATGGGGGTTATATCAAAACATGGACCTACAATGATCATTTTCTGCGCAGATTTTTCAAATCAAATTTTAGCAGACAGATCAAGAATATATACTTTATTGGGTTTCCGACGAATCATCGAGGTGTTGCAAACGGAATAACAAAATTAATATACACTCTCCCCCTTATGGTATAACAAGTAAACCAATTTTTTGATATCATAATATTCCTTCCAAACCAATATCGAGTTCAAAGACGGATGCCGTATAACTTTTTTTCAAAAATAAACATATCGTGGTAGTTTTTCAGTTTGAATCGGGTAATTTATTCGGTTCTGACAAAAAAGCATAAAATCAAAATTCAGTTTGAATTAAATAATAATGTATTAAAAACGAAATTGAATCAATTTGTGCTTGGACAAAATTTAAGCAAGCAGGAAGGCTCTAAAGGTTCTATTTTGATTCTTTTAGATAGATTTTAAAAGTCGGTTGTCGTTTATTGTTGAACTGGAAATTTTTAATACCTTTGTGTTTTTTTGGTTGAAATTTGTTTAAAAACGAAAGGTTTATAACATTGATTTTATTATATTTTTTATGGTTGAATTAGAATAAAAACGTCTGCTTTAAGTTAATGTGAAGTTAGAATTTGATGTCATGTTAGATCTAGACTTAAGGCAGATTCTAATTCAATCATAAAATTCCGTGAAGATGATTGTCGATGATAGTCAAAATATCGTAAATAAAATCAAAATAAAACCCGTTGTTTTTAAAGATCTTCAGCCAAAACAAACATCAAAAGAATTTCATTAAAATAAAATGTGTCTGTTTTCACTTTTTGACTTACTACCAAAAAAATATACAAATGCCTATAGCACACCTATAAAACAGCAAATGATCAATGATTATGAAAAAAAAATTATCATACAAAATAATTTTGGATAAATATTCCATGAATAATTCAGTGATTTCTCGAATTATTAATCGGTTTTATGCTACTAGATCAGTAGTCAATATTAATCACGGAGGAAGGCTGCAAAATATCACCAAACTACAAATTGTCAGAGAAGTAAAAAACACCCATTTAGGAGTTCAACAGAATTGATGAGAATATTGTCGTTGGATGTAATCGCAATAACATAGCGTAGACGAAATTGTGAAATCTCACTTAAAAAAAAAAATCTCATTTCCTGAAAAAAACGGAAATTAGAATCTGACTCAGGGGAAAAATATAATGTTTTCGAATGAAAATATTTAAGGCTCAGACACGAACAAGTTTCCATTGAGAAGGCCTCAGACCTCAGACAAGGATACTTTGTAGCATGGAGGTGTGGCAATAATGATATTGGAATGTTTTTCTTTTTATGGTGTTTGATCTATTTACGAGCTTTATGAAGTAATGAATTGGATTGTCTATAAAAATGTATTGAAAATGGCATGATTGCATTCGGTGAAGAAAATATAACCTCAACCATACACCAAAACATATCAAAGACAGGTTGCAGGAGTCAAAAATCAGGGATTTATAATGGCCACCACAATCATCAGATCTTCATCTTCTTCTTCATAGATAGCAAACTCAAAAGAGATTTACAAACAAACAGACTAACCCCTTTCCAATGGATCAGACGGCGAGGAATTGTAAACTCAAGGATCAAATTGAGCACTTTATTCTTTCTCAATTTTACATATTGACTGGCAAAAGTAATTATAGGTCTATGTCATTTCCTTTTTATACCCTTCACCACACTGTGGTACAGAGTATTATGTCTTTGTGCATATGTTTGTAACAGGCAAAAATAATCGAGATAGACCCATGGTTCCTTTTGAGAATATGCATAGAATCACTTTCTAAGTCGATTTATGCATGTCCGTCCGTCCGTCCGTCTGTCCGTCTGTCTGTCCATGTTAAATTGTAAACAAAGTACAGGTCGCATTTATGATCCGAATTTGATGAAATTTGGCATAGGTCACTTATTCGGCCCAAGGACGAACCCTATTGAAATTGGGAAAAATCGGTTCAGATTTAGATATAGCTCCCATATATATATTTAACCGATTTAATGTAAACGGTCCCTATATATCTTTCGATTTGCACGAAATTTGGTACAGGCTAATCATTTAGGCCTATAATGATGTCTGCCAAGTTTCGTGAAAATCGGTCCAGATTTAGATATAGCTCCCATATATAGTTTTGTCCGATTTCATGTAAATTGTGCCCCAAATTCCCTATATATGTTTTGATTTGCACGAAATTTGGCATAACGTACTGAATAAAGCCAAGAGTGATGTCTGCCAAGTTTCGAGAAAATCGGTCCAGCTTTAGATATAGCTCCCATATATAGGTTCGTCCGATTTCATGTAAATGGTGCCCCAAAATCCCTATATATCTTTTGATTTGCACGAAATTTGGCATAACGTACTGAATTAAGCCTATAATGATGTCTGCCAAGTTTCGTGAAAATCGGTCCAGATTTAGATATAGCTCCCATATATAGTTTCGTCCGATTTCAGGTAAATGGTGCCCCAAAGTCCCTATATATCTTTCGATTTGCACGAAATTTGGCAGAGCGTAATGAATTAGGTCTAGAATGATG